CACACACACACACACACACACACACACACACACACACTTCGACAACTCAACAACACTCACCTATAACAGTATCTAGTTAGTTATCTCGGCCCTCCGCGGACGACCCAGGCAGTTGTGTGACACGTCCCCTGTAACAGAGAAGACAGGAACATTTGCATCAAGGGAAATAATCAAGAAGCTCTTTGCTCGCCTTGCGCAAGTTTTCCTTGTGAGTATTGACACAGGTGAAGTATACACAAAGCCATCGGGCAGATTCCCAGAGACCACAGGAGAATTATTGATTTATTGTTGACGTTCACTTTAAAACAATACGCAATGACTATAAAAGAAATATTCTCGTTGGACTTTCTAAATTTAGAATTTAGAAACGAATTTGTTCTGTTACCCACAGTAGAACAAATAGAAAAATAAACGTATGAGTTTTTTACACCCCCGTCGACTCAATTAAAATAATTTCAGGAGCCAGGCCCAATCTGGGCTGAAAAGGATAAAACGTCCCAAAATCCAAGATACTCGATAAAAGTGTTCCGGGGGCTCTAGTGACCTAGAGGTAAAGGTGTTCGCCTCTCATTCATTTGGCCCCAGGTTCAAATCCGGAAAGCGACGGACAATTTTCTTCTCTAAAATTGTCTCATTTCACCTCCCTTCCTGCTCTAGCAATGTTCTGTCGTCTGGTTTTGTCTCCAATTTCTGCCCCCACCCCTCACCTCTTCTGGGCTCCTGACTCCTGCAGCCTTTCTACTGGTTCTCCTTAGCTCCTTCTTACTGCGGTCTTTCAGCCATCCCCCTGATCTTACGGTAGGAATGATCTACACCTAGCCTTCTCGGACAAGGACGAAAAATATCAGAAGTCCTGTGTGCAAGTTGCGTACGTTAAAGATCCCTTGGTGGGCTAAAATCGATAAGAGTATGCTGCAGCCGCCACCCGGACAAAGTTCAAAACTTGCTACCAACTGAAAATGTTTACTGTGTCCCGCGCGCTCCTAATATGACCTTATACATTTGCGAGATCAGTAAAACACTTACTAAAAAATGTTCCCCATAAATAACTCGAACACAGGTCTTCTGCGTGCAACAGCAAAGCGCCTAACCGCTCCACTGTCGACAGCGGTGAACAACTAGCACAATATATTATATATCAGGTGGGGTGATGCGATGACACTTTGTTTGATCAGACGACACCATTGCTGTTGCGAGCCTTGAATATGCTTTTCTTCATATCCGTAAAAGGGGCAGTCTTCTTGAAGAAAGATTGTTTGAAGAACTTACACAACTTGGTGCCCCCACGACCTGGTCCTACGAACAGTGGAAGTTCAAACAGGGGTACTTTTATTTGTCCATCTCGTTGTTTACAAAGGGTGTAAAACCATAAATTGCCTGTAGACTGAAGCAACCACCACCCCACCCCCCAAAAGAAACCCAACAAACAAAACAAAACGAAAAACAAACAATTTTGTGAAACAACTAAATAGCCTATTTCTTCTTTTCTTTATAAGGAAAACACAAGGATTTCTCCTCTTTAGTATTCCAGCTGAGCTAGTCAAATTCACCCAAGGAAAAGACATATCCTGGAAAGAAACAGCAGCTGTAACATGACGTAACCATAGACGCCGACCTTTTGTGTTTGTCTGGGGTTTTTTTTTCCAAGATGTGAAATAGGAGTTCGGTTGGGTTTGGGTTTGTTTTTTTCACTAATAGTAATACGTTTGACATTTAAGAAAGAAATGTTGTATCGGGCCTCTTAATTGCAGGTTTCGTAATATTCTTGTTATAATCGTAAAGTTTAACTCCCCACCTGACCCACTGACGTCATTCGACAGACAGAAGACTCTAGGCTCCTTCAGGACACAGGGCTGGGGCGGAACGATTACTTAATGGTTCACGCCGTCCTCGGATTTGAACTTAAACTACCACAAGGCTGACCAAACTCGTAGCTTACTACATGACTTCAGATCGTGACAGTGATGGGAAATATTATAGGTTTCTGTATAGATTTAAAACCACGTACTGCAAGTACAAGATAGAAATAAAATACCTCTTCAAACCCCCCCCCTCCCCGAAAAATACCTGAAATAACAATAAAACACTAAATAAAATTAAATGCTTAAATAAACTAATTTTAAATAAATCAAACAAAATTATCTCTCTCACACACACACACACCACAAAAACACCTACCTTCATATAGATAGATAGATAGATAGATAGATAGATAGATAGATAGATAGATAGATAGATAGATTTTGACTTACCACACAGCACAACGGCGGATATAGTGCAACTCTCTCATCATAATAATATCACATCGGTACACGTTCGTAGGACAGGTTCTTCTCACCGCTATCATAAATCATAAGCCCTTCTTGTTTTTGTATTTTTCTTCTCCTGTTTCTCTTCTTTCGTCATATAGGCCTAACTTGCGTTTCCTCACAGGTTGCCTCGATCGGGCATCGTGAGAATGAAGGTTATACGCAACTATGAAAGTCTTAGTGTTCCCGTTTTGACGAGTTGTCGAGTTGACCCGTGGCAAAGTGCATAGCATGCCATTGGCAATCCCATTGGCTGCAGGTATCGTAGCATTCTCACACACCTAAGCTATTTAAATAGCATAAAAGGTTGACATTTTTGGGGTTAACGATCTCATAAGAGGTTGAGTGTTAAAAACAATGCGTTATCATTCCAGTTTCCAGAAAAAAAAAGAGAAAAATATTTCAAGAAAAAAACCCAACTCTAACAAAATTAAATTATCTCCGCATGTTCCAACACCGTACAGAAAGTTTTAAACAGAAAGGGGTATTAAATTGGCGACATATTATTTTCAAAAATACAGCTATTACTTCTCTCATTCCGATCCTTCTAAATGTATTAAATAACTTTTATTCCACTCGCCGAAGCGCGCCTTCTTCTTAAGTTGCGTGTTGCCTTGAGAGATACGACGTTTCAATAAACTTGTAGACAATAATCGTAATGCACTCTGTGGGACGAAGATGGCGCGGTGCGTGACTCCACAGCTAGAGGAAGTCTGGCAGCTGCTGTCTTCTCACACACACTCCACCTCGTCCTGCACGGCGCTCGGGTTGTGCCTGTCCTTCATTATTTGTCTATTTTACTGTCTGTGTGCTTATCTATCTAACTATCTGCCTATCTATCTATCTATCTATCTACGAGCCGCATCTGTCTGTCATATGGTCTGTATATTTGTCAGACTATCTATCGATCAATCTGCTTATTAGTTCATTAGTCTTTTGTCCCACAGTTTGCCTGCTATCTATCTATCTATCTATCTATCTATCTATCTATCTATCTATCTATCTATCTATTTATCTGTCCGTCCGTCTGTCTGTCTATTAACATATCTATATATCTACCTGTAATGGTACAATAATAAGTAAATAATTAAACCTTAAACTTGAGAGACAACTCAAGCACTGACAGATAAGCCAGTTGCACTATTAGATAATAAGGACTACTAAGTACTAGTTCGCAAACGCATCCTTCTTTTTCCTATTCCAACCCCCTCCCCTCCCCACCTTCGTTTCTCTGTGGCCTGCCTTCTTATCCAGTTCTCGCAGTCAACTAGACACACAAGAATGAGGACGGCAATTTTAATAAAGAGCATCGATGATATGTATCTCATAGCTACCTTACACTTCGCAAAATAATAATCCAAGGTCATTCGATTTGTAAGTGAGCTTTCGTGGTATGACGTCACAAAAGAACGTCTGACACAATGAGATAGTGCACATAATATTACCTGATGAGAAAGAACGGGGTAGCTCTATGTTCACATTTTATTTCCTTTTATTTTGTTGTTGTTGGGAGGGGGTGCTGGGGGTTTTGGGGGGTGGGTGTCTGGTTTGTCTGATTTGTACTTCTTATCTTATTTGCTGTGGGTTGAACTAGTTTGACTGTCTTTTGATCGATTATTTGTGGGTTTTTGGATTTAAAAATCTTTTTTTTTCGTTTCTGTTTGTTGAATGTCGTGGTTCTTTGTTTGTTTTAGTTGTTCGTTTGCCTGTACGTTGTGTCTTCAACTGGCAAGGGAAATCTTAACATAGGCACACTCTGGCTTCACTTTTTTTATCAGTTAGTCAATAACAGAACGTTTAAATATCAAGGTTCGATGTTTCTTCTTTTGAGCATACTTTATCAAGGAAGTCAAGAAAAGAAGGGAGGAAAGTAGTACTAGGTTAATCTACTTCCCCTATGTGTACCATTCTGGTAAAGCTGTATCATGCATACTGCTTCAAGATCGTCCGTCAAAGCGCCAAAGGCCTTTGAACATCAAAGTTTCAATTCGAATACATTCGTACTCATAAAAACACAAAAAGCAACACTAACAGACACATTATTTATGCATGCACTACGCCCCTTTCCCCTCTCTCTCTCTCTCTCTCTCT